TAAGGAAGAAAACTGCCCACAAAATTCTTATTAACAGGCTCATGTCTGGCCCACACTGGGCCATCATGGGATTAATGTGGGCAGTCCCATAGTGTGGGCTGCTCACAGAGAGCCTGCGATGAGACCAGAGCTGTGGGCCTCCCCTGGGCAAGCCCGCACCGGGCCTGTTTAGGTTTGGTGTGGGCTGGTCCTAGCCCACTGTGCCCGCAAAAAGCCAGCATGTGCCCCGCAAGGACATGTTTGCAGGGAAGACAAAACATAACATGAAAGCACACGGCTGATATAAGCATGAACCGCATGCTACACTGAACACCACAACACATGCGGACAGAAAAGCGTATGGCCGCAGCCAACTCGAAACCGCACACTCACACAACAAGACAGAACATGGAGCACGATTGTCCGAACCCCGACACAAAACCGAAACCGAACAAGACACGAGTGCCGGGATCGGAACAACACGCTCCAACATGAAACAAGGAAAAAGAGCACGCAGAAAACAAGACATGACAGGAGTATCAGGGCTCTGTCACAAAAGACAAAACCACGAATAAACTAGACCGGAAATACTGTAACCCTCTAGTCAGAAGGCATTCTTGTAAATGCTGTTGAGATTTATTTGATTATTGCAAATCATATTTAGCCCACAAACTTCCTAACTGAATTACACTTCTCCCTCTCCCCATGTCTGCTCTGCTCACTCTCTATCTTATTTCTTTCTTTCTTTCTTGTCTTTCTTTCTTTGCTTTCTTGCTTTCCTTCTTTCGATCTAGCTGTCTAACCTCACCTCCTCAGGTCGATGATGGATGAATTAACTAGGATGTGCTTTTATTTCAGGTCCCAGTGCAGATTGCAAAGATCAGCTCTGTCAATCATCCAGTGAAGGTTGGACTGTCTGATGCCTTTGTGGTGGTCCATAAGATTCAGCAGATCCCCAGTGAGTCAACGAGACACGTAACACCAGTAAACCATCTGCATTCTGTATTCCAAGTGTGTGTGTGTTTTTGGAGATTTGAGTTGATGACTGAATTTTACAGGTGCTATTCAGCCCATCAGAAAACTGGGAGTATGTTTGTTCTGACAGTTGATTACTTCAGGGATTATCTCAAAGCTCCATCCTCTTCCCATCTCAAGCTGTCTGTTTGTTGTCTGGTGTGTCGTAGTTACAGTGAGCCCAGGAGGACCAAACCCGGCTGCGCTGGAGTAACAAATTTAGCAGATAAATATGTCTGGAGTTGGGCAGTGAGTGAGTGTGGGAGAGAACAGGAGGAGAGGAGGTGTTTGCTGTCAGGACATCATGATTTTCCATGACAGCTTATTCTCTCCGAGC